TTAAAAAAAAAAAAAAAAAAGATCTATGGCTGGGGATAGCAAGATAGCTCAGTAGGTAAAGGGGCTTGCCACCAAGCCTGATGACTTGAGTCTTGAATTCGGTCTCCAGAATTCACATGGTGGAGGGAGAGAACTCATTCTTGGAAGTTGTCCTCTGACTTCCCCAAGTGCATGCATGCTCCCCCCACAACTAAATAAATAAATTTAATTAAAAAGAAAGGTCCATGAATTGGGGGCTGGGTCATTGCTCAGTGGCAGAGCTGGTGATTAGCTTGGGTTCATTCTTCAGCACTGAGGGGGAAAAAATTCATGACTTGCTGCCTACAGGACCCATTTTCTAAGGTCTGTTTCTTTTTAAGGTGATCATTAATCTCCTAACCCTTCCCCAGTTCCTTCCTCCTGGGGGCTAGTAAGGATCAGCCTAGAGCTCAGTATTTAAGACTGAGACATCGGTCATCCCCCCAAGCCATGTGCCACCTTCTCACTTTTCTGCCTGGTGGTCTTTTATGGCAGGTTCCTCCCCTGCGTGTTCTCATCCTGAACACAGAGCCAAGAGGTAAGGACCAGTACTGTCAGCCTGCCTAAGGGAACAGCAATGCTTAGGAACACAGCCTGTAGCACGTAGCTATGTGGACAAGATCAGTGTTTCTCAAACTGTCTTCATCCTTGTCCTGTCTGTGCCACTGTTGCCATCTCCATGCACCACCTGGGTGATCGCGTTCTTCACATTGTAAATCAATCCCCCCTTTTTATTTTTATTTATTTATTTTTGTCTTCGTGACAGGGTCCTGGGGTAACTGTAGGGTAACCCAGGCTGGACTTGAATTCACAATCCTCCTGCTTCAGCCTCCCCAGTGCAGGGATTACAGGTGTGTACCACCATACCTGGCATCAGTTCTCTCCACTTTTTGTTGTTGTTAAAAGAGTATCACTATGTAGTCCTGTCTGACCTGGGACTATGTATATAGACCATGCTGGCCTTAAGTTTGCAGCAATCCTCCTGCTTCTGCCTTCCAAGTGCTGAGATCATGGGCGTGTACCACCATTCCCAGCTCCCTCCCTTCTCCTTTTTAACTTCAGTAAATGTTCATTTATTTTGAGAGGAAACTATTTCACTACCATCCATGGAAAGCCAGCATGAGTCAAGGAAAAGAGCCCTGTAAAAATCCCTTTGTTTTCTCTGTAGAAATTGTTGAAGTCAGTTATTCTTGCTTTCTGAGCCTGAGCCTGAGGTCTGCTGTCCCTCTCTGTGTGTGTAGGGAGATGAGCATATCTTAAGGTGTTACCGAGACTCCCCTCTGTGGCTTACTTGGAAGGATGGAAAGAGAACAGGCAACCTCATGCCATGCTCTTCACTACTCTGGTGTGATGCCCTTATGCCACCTCAAACAGGGTGCTGTGTGCCCCATACTTTGGGGCACTGCTGTAGAAAACCTTACCAAACAGCTAATATTTGCAGTTTCCCTTAATTTTAAAGTAAATTGTGTCTGCTTTGGGGGAGTGGCTGGAAGAGGTCGAAGATGGGGAACTTGGGGCTCTGGGCAATTGGCAAGGCTTCCTGGTTGCCAGTCCTCTTCCTGTCCCAGGGGCTTGCTATTGCTGGTCTTGCTTCTGTTAAGAGTACTCTATTAAGAGTGCTCAGAAGCATGGTAGGTCTGGTAGCAATTTGCACTTTAATAAAAGTTACTCTGTTTTGGTGTTTTAGTATGTTCATCTGTGAACGGAAAGTTACTAGAGAGAAAAGAACAGAACTGTGTGAGAGAGGGTCCCCTGAAAGGATGTACCATCAGGGGTACTAAAGAATGTACATCAGGGGAACTAAAGGCAGGGATGGAGTTCCAGAGTCAAGCCTCACTTACCTAACAGTTTAAGAAAAGCCTTTCTGGATTCCCTGGAGCTCATGCTGAAGGGAGAGCAGGAATGGTTGTCTGAGTTTATAATGCTGAGCTTTGTGTGTGAGTCTGCCCTGCCCCTGCCCCAAATGCTATTCATCACACATCTATTTTGTGTTCCCTAAGTGCCAGACATTGAGTTAGGATTTTGACATAACTCACTCCTGTGTGCTCTTAGGAGCACCCACAGAATTTTTAAAGAGATCTTCCAAGCAATCATAGACAATAGTAGTGGAGCTATTCCTCCAGGCCTGGAGAAGAGATCCTGGAGTGGGTCCAGCATACCTAAGTAAGGCCCTTGCCTTCTAGAATGACATCATGAGTTATGGCCAATTTGTGGGGGAGAATGTAAGGCAGGTGGGCCGAATTTCACTGACTAAGACTGTGACTCATTCCCAGCATCTATTGAAGACTTAGCCTCCATCTTCTAGGGCTGCTTCTCAGAGCTGACTTACACTGGCAGTGGCGTAGGCAGGAGGTGGGAGGTGGAAATGTGCCTTGGAGGTTCACCTTCCGCTCTGGTCCCTTCCCTGGGAACCACCAAGGAACTATTCCCAGAAAGCACATGGAGAGGCGGTAGGATGATCCAGGAGGGATCCTGTCTCATCTTCTTTTGGTGTGTGTGTTGGGGGAAAGATGCTGTGTGAGACAGGGTCTTACTTTATAGCCTATATTGGTCTGGTCTGGCACTCACAGTGTAGCCTAGGCTGGACTTGAACTTGGGGTGTTCCTCCTGCCTCAGCCTCCTGAGTGTTAGAATAGCAGGCATGAGCCACCATGCCTGGCTTTGTTGGACCTCTTTTATGTTCTTTACATTTATTGTGTATGTGGAATTGCACATCCACCTGTAGAAGTCAGGGGACAGTCTTTGGGAGCTGGTTCTCTGCTTCCACCATGAAGGTTATGGGGATTAACTCGGGTAGTTAGGCTTGGCAGCAAGCTCTTGCTCCCACTCAGTCATCTCACTGGTCACTGTATCTCCTCTTAAGCAACTCAGGGCCTATGCAAGACTGGTATACCCCATAGGCCTTGCTGAGATGAATCAAACTTGGGCTCTGCAGTGAGGAGAGGTCCTTGGGGCCATCCAAATGTCCTGGGACAGCAAACCTGAACCACATGGACCTCCTGGAGACCTACTGCCCAGGTTAGGCTCCCTAGTGCTTTCTCCCTTTTCCTGATTGCACCTGGGTCAGAAGGAGAGCCCAGAGAAGCAGAGCCTGGGTAGTTGGGTGGGGACTGCCCTGTGGTGAGATGGAGCCCACCTGTGTGAGTCTGATGCCTTCCACCATCCTATTTATGTGTATGAGTATATATTGTATGCATGTGTGTAAGTGTACCTGTGTTGTGCAGTACCCACAGAGATAGAAGAGAGCGTTGAATTCCCCTGGAACTGGAATTATGGATGGTTGTTAGCAGTCAAATGGGCGCTAGAAATCCAACCTGGGTCCTCTGCAAGAGCAGTCAGTACTTTTAACCTCTGAGCCATCTCTGTAGCCTCTTCACTTGCATTTTGTTAGTGTCGGAAACCCACCCAACAGAGACCAAATCTGAAGGGGCACTTACGGCCCATGTAACTGGGATGGTCAAGGAGGCAAGACAGGCTCCAATGATGTGGTTTTGTGTGTGTTTTTTTATTTGTTTTTTTGTCTTTTTGAGACAGGGTCTCCCTATAGCCTCAGCTGGCCTGGAACTCTTTATGTAGACCAGGCTGACCTTGAAGTCACAGAGATCCACCTGCCTCTGCCTCCTGAGTGCTGGAACTAAAGGTGTTCACTAAAGATGTTTACCACCATGCCCAGTATGGCTCTTAACAGTGTTAATAGCCCCTTTCGGCTTCCTGTTTTCCCCTGCTTGGCTCCCTACAGCCCAGGCTGGCTTCCTACCATATTAGCACTCCCAGACTGGGAACCCCTCCTGTCACTCTCACAGTGAGTGGGAATCTTGACAGACTTCTGATTGGGTCAGCTTGGGTTATTTGTTGACCTGAGACAATGATGAATATATTAACAAGCATGTTGGGTTATTCCAACAAGTTAGTCATGATGCTATGTTTAGAACAAACATATACAGAAGGTAGCAGGTGAGGAAAGTGTCTTATGTATAGAATTTATCTCCCCAGCAGTCCTGAAAACCCAAAGGACAAAGCCAGCAGCCAGCTGGTAGTGTACAGCAAATGCCTGGTGCACCTCTTTCCTGCATATGTGCAGGCTAATGTGTCCCAAATGGGAGGCAGTAAGCTCCACTCACTCCATCCTACCTCCAGCACAGCACTCAGAGAATAGTATGGGCCGTCCTGCTATTCTTGACACAGGTGCACCTGCTCTTCCAAGGCCGGAGAGCTCCTGCAAGCTTCATTTCTATAGCAAACCAGTCCAGAGAATGAGTGACTGCTTGAGGGGTACAAGTCTCTTTTAGGGGTGATACGAAGGTTTAAAATTGATCGTGGTGTTAGTTCCACAGCTTTGTGAAAATACTAAAGTTACTGAATTGTGTGCTTGAAGTGGAAAAATTGTATAGTGTCTGAATTATATTACAATAAAAACTTATATAAACACACATGCACAGTCCCAGCCCAGAGCCCAGGTTGACGTTGGTGTTCATGAATGTGAATCTGGGGAAAAATCAATTTCTAGTTTCACCCAATGTTGCCTAGTACCTTGGTGGCATTTGTCAGAGCTGGACTCTGGGCACCTGGAACTGGGAAATTAAAACCTGCTGCTCATGCCCAGAGATTGCATTTAGCTTAAGCTGCTCCCACATGGGGAGAGGGCAGTTCTCCTGGGAGCTTTGGGGAGTAGGACAAAGGACTGTGGGAGTGGCCAAGATTGAAGGGCCACTGTGTGGCTTTGCAGTGAAACCTTGGTTGCTTGTTAATTGAAAGTCTATGAATTGCTGGGCATGGTGGCCCATGCCTTTAATCCCAGCACTCCCGGAGGCAGAGGCAGGCAGATCTCTGTGAGTTCAAGGCCAGCCTGGTCTACATAGTGAGTTCCAGGACAGCTGGGGCTACAGAAAGACCCTGTATCAAAAAGACCAAAAAAAACCCCCAAAAAAACAAAAAAGAAAAGATTTATTTTCTTTTTTAAATTATGTATATGATTGGGCTGGAGAGAGAGCTCAGTGGTTAGGAGTACTAGCTGTTCTTGCAGAAGACCCAAGTTTGAATCCCAGCACCCACATGGTCGCTAACAACTGTTTGTAACTCTAGTTCCAGAGGATCTGACACGCTCCTCTGTCCTCCTTGGGCACTGTCATACATGTAGGTGTTAAACTTATACACATAAAAATAAGTAAATAAATAAAATTTAAATTATATGTATGTGTGTAGGTATACCAAGTACAAGTGCCCATGGAGACCAGAGAAATCTCATTCCCTGGAGCTGGAAATGCTGGCAGTTGTGAGCCACCTGACATGGATCTGACATGGGTGCAGGAAGTACTCTTAGCCACTGAGCCATCTCTCCAGTCTCTTGTCTTGTTTTTAAATTATTTATTTATTTATTTATTTATTGGTCTTTTTGAGACAGGGTCTCCCTGTAGCCCCAGCTGTCCTGGAACTCACTATGTAGACCAGGCTGGCCTTGAACTCACAGAGATCCACCTGTCTCTGCCTCCCAAGTGCTGGGATCAAAGGCGTGCGCCACCATGCCCAGCTATTAAATAAAATATTTTAAAAATAAATAAGCTGGGAGTGGTAGCACACATCTTTAATCCCAGCACTCGGAGGCAGAGGCAGGCAAATCTCTGAGTTTAAGGCCAGCCTGGTCTACATAA